TTGTTTTGGGGGGGGGGGGGGGGTGTCTCCAAAACCTCAGTAGTGGAGTACATTAGCCAATACCTAGAATTAATATTAAAAATTAATGAGAAGTTATAGCGCCTCTAATCTTGAAACTCACTTTGACTCATACAGTTGAGTGATAGTGGGTCTTGAGCTTGATCCAGCTATTTTACATTAAAAGATAAAATCAATATACTTGAATGGTACGTGTGAAGACTTGACTAGATGATCTTATTATAAACAGGCTTCAAAATAAAATGTTTTTACTTCACTTAAGCGAGGTCTGTTCAGCACTTTACTGACTGATAGATCGTAGAATCACATCTTAAATAACCATAATTATTGAGTCCAGAATCAGATTCCATAGTGAAAGTCTTTGGGAAGCACTCTAGTGTCAATAATATCGTTCTTTGGCTTCAGCAGAGCTGCCCAGACAGATGATATTTAATGGTACAAACATTAATTTCTGCTAGCTGCATCAGTAAGGGTATCAGGTACTTCTGTGAACAGTATGTCTGCTATGATAGTTGGTATGTTTGCTGCCTAAGACCTACAGCATGTCAAAAGCATTAGAGATTAGCATAAAAAAAAAAAAAGTCTGTACATTTAGAAACAGAGCTTTCAGTTACTAACAACTTTTAAGAAGGTAGAAGTAGCTATCCAGCTGGGACCGAAGGTCTATCTACCCAATATTCTGTCTCTGAGGGTGATCAGTAACAACTTCCCTAAGAGTGAGCTTAAGAGTGTGTGCTGGTATTTTCCAAAAATCACAGGTAAGGACAAGGTTGGAAAAGACCTTTAAGATCATAAAGTCTGACAATCAACCCAACACCACCATGCCCACCAAACCACATCCTGAAGTGCCACATCCACAGGGGCCTTGAGATGTTCCACAAGTCTTTGACAACCTGCAAATCAGGAAACAAGTAATCTCAAGCCACCAGACATCTGTTGTAGACAGGTCTTTTGGCTTGTTGTGAACTGCTTTTTTCAGAATTTGGATATTTCACATACATTTTTTGATATGGATTCTCTGATATTGTGGAATTGAGAACTCCTGTTGTTTTTCGCCACAGTTGAAAGACTTGGCTAGTTACTTTCTTAAATTCGGCAACATAAAGAAAATCATCATGCTGCTGTACAATTATTAGCCGAAAAGTTGGGAAATCACCTAGTTCTAGAGTAGTCAGGTTTTTGTGTCTTGTGCGTGTCCTGAAGCTCAGATTGTATTTTTACCCACAGGAGGACAGAATGTGATATTCGCATCCAACTGCCTCAGGTCTCAAAAGAACACTGTAAAATTGAAGTAAATGAAAACAAGGAGGTGAGATATTTTTAATGACATATGTATTGCATCATTGTATCTCATCAGGCTACTGAAATGTTTGTTTTGGTTTTAGGTAATATTGACTAATTTAAGTACAGTAAATCCTACGCAGCTGAACGGTGGTTGTTTTCATCAACCTGTACCTCTGAAGCATGGAGATGTGCTAACTATTATTGATCGTTCTTTCAGGTAAGTGCCAATGACAAACTGTGAATGTCTCGATCCTAGAATGTGTTCTGCAGGCAGACAATGCAGAGAGCTTTTGGGGACTGCTGTATGAAGATAGAGAAGATGGCTCTAGATAAATAGGGAAAATTAAAAACTCCTTTTACCATCTTCAGAAACAGAAATTAATCTAGTTTATTTCATATTTCTTTACCAAGTCTTACAGGCTTTCTTCAGAAGGCAGGATTGCTTACAGAGATTTTTTTTTTTTTAATCACTTTTATATTGTGTTAAGCTAAAACAATAAAGATAGAATTGTCTAGAGATATCATTTTGCTTTTGTTTTGAGGGTAGTCAGTTTTAGGGGAAGATTTTGAAGTATTTTGATGTAGCTAAAGCCTTTAAAAGTGATATGTGTGTATTGTTGGGAGTGAACAACTATTGCTTATCTTAATAATGGGAATTTAGTCATCAGCTATTTGACAAAAAATGGTTGTTTTTGCTTTTTAACTATTTCTTCCAGATTTGAATATCCTCTCCAATCAACTCCAAGAAAGAGGCGTTCCAGGTCTCCAAAAGATGAAACACTGCAGGTAATTTTGTGGCCATAGGCTTATTTGTTACAAGTACATTAATATTAATAGTGATATGGTATTGTATTTCCTTGTTCTGTTTTCTTATTAGGAATAATTTTTCAGCTATAGACTACTTGTCTGTTTGAAAATAAAAATAAGCTCTTTCAGAGAAATACTTTTCTAAAAAAATAATAATTTATTAATTTTAGACTTGTCAGTCTTTGGTAATAGATACTTGATAATCTATGATGTTACTAATACAGGTAAGCAATTAAAAACTAATCCTTTTTTGAAGTGAGGATGGGATGCAGGAAATGCAGAGTAGGGCATTGGATATCCTTGTACTTTAAATGGGGAGGTTTGCCTGGGGAGAATAAGCATTCTTTTCAAAAATAATCTGTTGCTCTATGTGCTAGTACACTAATGTATTGTTGGAATTTATAAATATCAAACTATGTTTGTCTTTTAATAATTTATTTTCATTAGTTTCCTTTTTTGTTCTCAGCAAGCTTTTCTCCCTTAAAGGGGATAGTGCCAGTTTGTGAGTAGTGTGGCTATTGAAAGATTTTTTTTTTAATGTTAATAGTTCTCTTATTTAAATAAAAATGTTCCACTAGGCCTGATAAGAAGGTGAGATTCAAATGTGCTTGTATATATTCTTATGCTTTTAAAGCTAATAATTTTCATGATAAAATAAGATTTAAACTCTTGCTATATAGGGCCTTCAATGTGTATTGGCCAATGTTCTTAAATTTAATTTGATTTTCATTCACTTTTTTAGTAAACAATACATATACTTTTATAAATCTTGTGTTTTTCAGTGTACGGTTGAAAACTAAACTGTGAAATATTTGTTGCTGTGCTGTAATATTGTGCAAATTCACAGGTTCTTCATTTTTTTCAGGTGGCAGAAGTGGAATTATTAGGCAAACAAACTTCAGGACCTAAAAGTCTTCATGTTTCAGGTTGGTACCTGTTTTATGGGGACTTTGTTTTATTCTTCCACCTTCACTGCATTTATTCTTGTCGTAAGAGGAAAAACAAGGTTGAAAAGAGCAAAAGAAGTGTATTTTAATTCTTTTCAATCTGAATACAATACACCTTGCTATGTCAGTGTATTATCACATCATACTTAGATGCTGTGATTTACCAACACTAAGTTCTGCCAAGAGAAATCAGTTTAACTGCATCCTGACAAATGGGCAGTAACAGTTAGCCTGGAATTGGCAAAATCCATATATATTGCTTTAAGTGACTTATGCAAATTCAGTTTATGAAGATTATAGCTAACAAGGGATTTCAGTACACCAGCTTTGCAAATGCAATCCAAATGTGAAACAATTTGCCTATTACATTTTACTTTTCAGCGGCATCAAACAAGTATAACATGGCAAATTCACCTTTGTGATTAAAATTTAACTTGCGGTTCTCTGCTGACCTAGAATAGAGCTAGATCCCTTTTGAGCAAATAGTGCATTATCTCACGTATTCTTTCCTAATAAGAAATTGAAACAGATATAATTTTGGAGATACATTGGAAGCATTAATTTTGCTGATTGAAATAATAGTTTACAATAGTTGTTTCTTGTAGTAAAGTAAAAATCTTCTTGTAGAAGTAAAAATCTTCTAGAGCTATGAAGTCTAGTTATAGACCATGGACTGGTTAAATGCCAGGACTTCATCTTCCCATCCTTCTTGTCTTAAGTACTTTCATGGGAAGATACCAGCTTTATTAGGTGAAGGCTATTTATCTACAGGCAGGTTTGATTTTTGTGATAAGTGTTTGTTCCAGTGCAAAAAACCCCAGGCTGTTTCAAAGGGTTCCATTTCAGTGGGTTGTTGTGAGCGTATCTATATTTACAGGATTTGGGTGATAGGTTCCCCAGCAGTGACCTGTGATACAACAGTCTTTGCTTCACTGTTCTATCAACATTAAGGGAATAACTTGTCAGCTAAATAAAAAAACCCACCTGATGTACTTGTCTGCAGCTGGGTAAAAGCTTTCACAGAAATATCCAATTTTCTGTTCTTTTCCATGTTTCTTTTTCCCCCTCCCTCCTTTTCCCCTTTCCCAGATGATAATTGATAGGCTTTTCCTTGCTTGTCAGAGTCTCTACCTTCATCCTCACATGGATTACTTACCATCACAATTAAGGAAAGTCAACATGTATCAGCACTTGTTTCAGCAAAGCATTCATGCTGACATAAAATAGTGTTGGGAAATAGACCTTGTAGATGTATAGATGTACACGAGGTGGCTTAAAAGGCACCTTTTACCACATGAGCTCTGTTAGCTTGCATGTACCCTTGCACGTGGAAAACGCGAAGTGAGGCATGCTACCTCAAGCTTCCTTGGATACAGTTTGCAGATTGCAGTGGAATGGCAGCACACGTACAGTCACTTGCTGTGTCTCATCTGGGAAGTGGCAGCTCAGCTTTATTGTCTGTCTTTACGCTAAAGAAGCATTACCACAGTTCAAGCAATATAGCACCTATGTAAATGAAGGACAAAAACCAGACTGAATTGTGGTAAGCTGATCTAAATGGTTGTTTAATTCTATGCTCATAGATCTGTCTTGTGGCAGCCCTGAAAGGTGTATATGAGCCATTGATTCTGAAGAAAAGCAAAAATGTGAAATACCAAGTGCCTTACCTGATTATGGGACAAATTCCAGATTGCAGCTTAGAATTTATGTTAAATATTTAGATAACTAATGCTTTTATTATGTGAGAAATTTTTATTGTTAACAGAGCTTTATTTATGGTACTGTATCCTGGATGCTGGTTGACCGTCTTGGGAGAGGAAAGGAAGGAATTTTTATCTGCATTTATGGAACTCATATCTGTAGTTCTGCAATTTTTAAGTTAATTCTGCATCTGTAATTTCTTATTGTTTTGCTTTGCTTACTTTGTAGATAATGCTGAGTGTGAAAAAAAAAATGCCAATGAAAACAAACCAAGTACAGAGGAAAATATTTCCAAAGCTTTACCCTTCAAACTACAAACGCCCAAATCTTCACACAGAATATATCAATCTAGTAAAAAGCAAAATGAAATGTCTCCCTTTAGTAAACTCTATGAAAAACTGAAACATGAGATTGAAGTGAAAAAACCTCTGCAAGAGGGAAACGTATCTCAACAAGCTGAAAAAGAAGATGGTAAGAGTGTTCTGCTAGAACCAAGTGCTCGAATTTCATCATCGGGTTGTGTTTATGATTTTGGAAGCCTGGCTGAAGAAAAAGAAATAGACAGAAGTGAAAATATTGAAGAATGTAAAATAAAAATAAAGCAAGAAGTAATCAGTTCAGAATTTAACCAGATCTCAGCTGTAGGAAGTGCTACGAAGAAGAGTTTTACCAGAAGTTCTCGAACTTCTGTTTCAAAGGAGATGTCAAGAGATACTGGTAAAGGAAGTCACTTGCAGGATCATAAGGAACTAAGTACAGCAGGCAAATCTAAAGGTACTGAAGTTACCACCAAACCCAGTAAGGAGAATGATGGAAATGCAGTATTTTCACTGCAGCCGTGCTCTATAGAAAGCTTGGATTGTGCAGATAAAATGAAAATACACAGCTCTGCAATAGCAGTAGATAAACTAGCACAAACAACTAACATGACAAATGTTTCTGAAGTCTATAAATATGTTCTGTCTACACCAACACCCAGAAGGAAGAGTCCTCGGTCTCATTTCATATTGCCTACAGAAGAAACCGGTGGAATGAACCCTGAAAATACTGATACTCCAACATCTCGACGACACGTGTCATTGAAACGTAAGTGGTTTTCAGAATTTTCATCTGAAATTCAAGGGGAAGGTTCAGTGTGCAGAAATGATAGCCTCAAACAACTGCCTTTGGCGGAAAATAAATGCTTAAAACAAAGACGAAATAGTAAACAACATACACCAGGAAAACCTGTAAAAGACGTGCTGCAAGAACAATGTGGTCAGACAAACTTTGTTAGCTCAAAAGAGGGGCATTCTGAAACTCCTGCATCTTTTTCTAATTCCAAGAGTCCCAGAAGAAATAACAGGCAAAGTAAAGAATTATCCAGGAAAAGTGTCCATTCAGAGACACTGGTTTCAGAAGAGTTAACATCAGAACTGGCATCTCCTGCTAGTCAGAAATCTGACTCTGTAAGAAAAAGGGGTAGGCCAAGGACCCCTGGGCTGCTACCTGAAAAAGTGTCGGAGACAACTGCCGTTGAAGAACATTGCAATAAGACTACAGACAGAAAAGACAGCGGAACTAAAGAAGAGCTGGCCACGAAAGGGTATCATCAGAAACAAGATTTGGAAGATGCCAGTGTTAGAAGACCTCGTAGATTGTCATCAAAGAGAAGGTCTTCTGGAAGTGCCACTGTACTGAAAGACAATGAGGCTGACTCAGAAATGAGTATTTCTGGCCTGTTGGCTGGAGAAGAATCAGGTAAATATGTGTAATCCCATGCCTCGTTTTTGTATTTGAGAAATTCTTGTAGCATTTTTATGAGAATTTTTCCACTTACATAAAATGTAGAACTCATTGGTGACATGTTAGTTCTAAAACATTTATCATGTAGTTATATTTGACAATAAAAATACACAATAATATGTATAAAAGTTACTCAATTGGATCTGTTTCGTTTTAAGGTAAGTTACCTTCTGATACGTTTCCAATTTTACAATGCACATGTAAGCTGTTTTCTGTGCTGGTTTAACTACTGACTTGGATTCTTAGGTATACAGAAATATTTTCAATTGTTATTTTTAGGCAAGACAAAAAGGATATCTCAGAAGAGGAAAAGTGGTGATTTGTTACTTCAGCCTTTAGGAAAAAGGAAGAGAGTGTCTTTTGGTGGTCATCTAAGTCCAGAACTTTTTGATAAAAGTTTACCTCCCAACTCACCCCTTAAAAGAGGTGCAATTCCTGCCAGACTGAGCTTACCATTTGGAAACTCACCACGTGCAGTTCTGAAAAAGGCTGAGGGATTGAAGCGCTTTGCAGTCCAGGTAAACCTTAAGACTAATCAAGTTCCTAAGACAATTAATGTGAACAGAATTTATAAATTCAAATACTTCTAAAATTAATTGAAAGTTAGTAGTAAACCTTGTTATATGTATGTTGGGAAGTGGAAATTATAATTGGAAATTAAAATGGTATTTGAAATCAGCAAATTTTAATCTGCAGTTTTTAACTTCTCCATTGTAGGAGAAGGCTCACCTTACCCTTTATAGCTGCCTGTCTGTATACAGGAGGTGTGTTTTCATTCACCTCGCATGCTATTGCTCATTCTCCTGCATATGCCCGAGTATATTTCTGTATGTTTGTGCCTAGCAGCGGTGTTTACAAGCTCCAGTTTACCATAAATAACAGAAGACAGAACAGTAATTTGTTGGCAGACTGTGCAAGCTCCTGCCACAGGGTTTGTCTAGGAGTTTGAAAACATTTGCTGTTGATTTAAACTAGTTGAGATGTGTGCAGTGTACTTGATGTGAACAAAACTTTTGAATGAAGTAGAAAACTAAATCGGTTTACTCCGTTGAATTTGCATGTGTCTTTTGAGCCTGTTTTGAAATTGTTACAAGTTTGTTTTCAGAGAATAACGCTTAAGGCTTTTTCAAATGATCAGATGATATTTTATACTATTGTAATTTACTTGTCAGAGATGTAGATAAGCATTTGTGGTTCAGCTACATGTAGTAACATTTTATGTATTTCTTTTTCTCTACCAGGAACTTTCTGAACATTGGCAGAAAAAGAAAATGTCACCAAAAAATTTGCCAGTCCAGAAGTCCCCAGCTGCCTCATCCCCTGCCTCTGGGAGAGCAACACCTAAATTTACTTTAGGCTCTCCAGCACCTTACACAAAAGGACGTTTCTCTGTTTCTCACATCACGACACCATCACCGATTGCAGAAGAGAAGGATGCTGTTGCAGAAGACATGAATACAAAGGAGAAAAATGGTGCCCGAGTGAAATCAGCTAAATCTTCTCGTGTCAACCAAGACAATAAAACCTTTGTAACGACTACGCCTGACAAAGTAACAAGAAGTGCACAACTTGCTTTGAAGGTCACGCCCATGAAGAGGAGAAGTGGGGCTGTAGCAGTTTTCAACGCAAAAAGAAGAAGTGGTGCCTCTAGTGCCAATTTACTAGGTTTGTTTCAGCGGTTAATTTTTAATATTAATTTTAATGCTTTAAAATACAGGAAGAAAACTGAATTAGGCCTATTATTTTGTTATGCAGAGACCACCAAATCATTGGCATATCTTCTGACAGTTGTTGGAATTGTTGGAAACAACTGGGAATTGCTAAGTGTTACATTCTCCTATATTGATAAAGCAAATCACTAAAGCATATATAAAACCATATTTAGAACACAAATCTTAATGTTCAGAAGTTGAAAAATGGTAGAATTAAGGTTCTTTTTGCAAGGTTAGTTGCAATAGTGATCCTTCAAGTTCAAGTACTATTCAACTAAATCAAATTGTATCAATTACATCAATTTTGCTTTGAAAATATGCACTTGATAGCAATCTAGCTTCAGTTTATTTTCTTTGTGCCTTTTTATATAGACAGTTCACAGCCTTTGTCCATGGTCTGGACTGCACTTAACAGTTGACAGTGGTACATAAAGGATAAAATTTAAATAGGATTATAACTAGGTGTTGGTTTGAGTATTTTCAAGCTAAACATTTGAATTTGAATGTCAAACAGTGGTTTGAAATAGTTTGGACAGCATTGGAAACATTATGATGGGGGACTCTGGTTCTTTAAATTTTTGTCTTTTGTCATCTGTGTTTGTAAATTAAATCAAGTTGACCCTTTCAAAGTCAAATTTAAAGCTTCCCACCAATACCACTATTCACCCAGGAATGTTTATTACTCTTTACTATCTCTATTTTTTGTGTAATTTTAAAATTTTGAACAACATACTGCATACAATGTCCCAATAGTGGTCTTATTTCATCATGTAATAACGGTAATAATGATAAAAACCCAGTCCTTCACAGTACTTCCTGGTTAGTACAGCTGAACGTGGTAGTAGTCTTTTAGTGAAGTAGTTTGTTTTTCAGTGGCTTTGGTTGTTCCATTAATTTTCATAGCAGCAGAGTGCTTAACAAATATTAATGACTTACCATTTTTCATCACCTCTCTGTAATGTGTAGGTGGATTTTAATATCAGTACATCTGTTTCTTCTGTAATAGGAGAAGAACGCCACAGTTCTTAAAAATTTTGGATGTCTGCTTTGTATCCAAAATAAAACTCTTTGTGTTCCTGGTGCTTTTTCAGATAATTTCCTGCATGCTTAGCATTTTTCTACATAATCTGAACACCCTAGCAATGACAGCTTTTGAAAGTTCTTTTTATTTATAGACTTTACCCAATTTGCACAGCAATTCTAACAAGAAAATAACAATATCCTTTTCTTTGGAATTTTTCCTTTTTATCTCTACTTTAAAAAAAAAAATTCTTTTGCATGATCCCTGCCTTCTCATAGCCTGTTCCTGAAGTAAATGAGGCAGATGTGCTTACAGCTTCATTTATTACACAACTGTAACTAATTCCCTGATTCCTCCGCTGTGTATAGAATGATGCTGTGATAAAAGATAATCTTGCTTTGGGAATTTTCAGAGTATGTTATAAGGATGAGGTGATGTAAGAAAAATTATGGAAACTCTGTGTTATGGAAATGCTGTAAGCAGTATAAATAAATAAATAATTTCCTGATTACGAAATTCCTTGGGAAGGTGGTGAAAGAAAAGCTGGATGTTTTTCACTGAGAAGCCATTTCTCCGATGTTAAATCTCATTTCCCACCAGGGAGAAGTTCAGGTACAGTAATGAACAAGACTGAAAGGTTCATGGCAAGTTTCTCTTGGGGGGGGGAATTATTTCCTTACAGAAAGAGTGAGGGTGGAATTGGGTCAGCATTCAGTTCTAGGCACTGAATGAAGCTTCTTGTTGTTTTGTTGTGGAAAGCCATACTAGGTACTTGGACACTTGTTAAACTTCAGCTGAAATTGGATCTTTCAACTGGAAGTGTTTCACTGAGAACTTTAGTATAGGTGTTGTCAGATGATACAGCAACCGCTTTCCTATGCCCAACTGCAGAAATTCTACTGGAATCATAAAGAAATAATTGTGAACTTCCACTTACACAGCTGAGAATTAAAATGGTTATTTCTCTTTTGCTTTCTAGTTGCAAAATCTTGGGCAGAAGTGGTAAAATCAGGTGTTGCAAGACCACAGTCAAGGACACTTAAAAAAAGTGTCCAAAAAGGAAGATTCCTAAAGAAGATAAGCCGATCACCGAAGGTATTCTTTTCCTTGTTTTAATGATTTTTTTTTTTTTTTTTTTTCCCCCCCAGTCTTTTTTTTTGCATAACCACAAAACAGCTTGTAGGTATTTTGCTACAGAAGCTGAAAGCTTTTCAGCTTTTAATATGATGTTATATCGGTGTTGGTGTCTTTGTCACAGCATATAAGAAATGTAGATTTTTATATAAAAGGGATCTTTGTTTACTAACTTTTTTTTGTTGTTTTTTCCCCCTCCCCACTGCAGACTCCAGAAAGAAAAATAAAAGGTCATTTTAGTACAGGTCATGCAGAGTCACCTGCTACAATAGTTGTAGGTAGAGCTTATTCCACCACAGTCAGAATGGCTGGACAGGTTCCTAAAGTGGTAAAAAATCCTACCTTGAAGCTAAACATGGATATGGACGAAAGCTTCACAGGTCAGTTTTTAAAGTCTGTTGCTCACTCTGCCCACTGTGCAGTTCTTTTGTGAAAGCATATGCTCATTTCTCTGAATATAATTTATAGGAGTGACTGAAATGTTTCAAACTCCAGAAAACAAGAGTGGAAAAACGTTACCTTTGGCCACTGTTCAGAAGACTGATTTTACACCAACGTGTACTGCAGTGGACATTTCTGAATTGCATACTCCTGAAGAATGTGGTATGTTATTTGAAAATAAAGGGAACATTCACATATATTTAGTCTGCTTGAGACAGTGAGTGGTTTCAGCCTAGGCAGACTTGATGTATTGAGCTGAAGCATCTGGCAACCCATAAGAGGAACCATTGGTTTTTATCACGTATTAAAAGACATTTTTGTAGTTCCAGTTAATTTTTGAGTAGGTGTTATTTTCTTACTTGTTCTGTTTGGTATGAAACTTCAAAATGTTGAAGTATTGTTTCTGGCAAATCTTGTGCTGAAGCATGGCACTTTCTTAATCAGTTGTCTGTGGATACATCTAAATCCAGTGACAAAGTTTAATGGTAGGGAGAGGCTATTGTGCAATCTTGCAGAAGAAATCTATTTACTTTAAGTGTCGGGTTAGAAAGATTTGTATTAAGATTATACTTTGTTGTGCATCTTTTGCTAATAACCTTGTGTAGCAGTCATTTTGTCTCTGTATAACTCAGAATTCTTGAAATTAAAATTTTGTTTTCTTGAGAATTTAGCAAAACTGAGCATCTACTGAAACACCAATATTTAAAGTAGTAATCATCATCATAATCATAATAATGGTTGAAATATATTTTGGTTTATTTCAGATGTTGTGGAAGATAGGGCTAGGTGTAACAAACCTTTTTATAACTTCAGAAGGGAGTCCAGTAAAAAGTGTTTTCTTTGAAAAGAACAACTTGTAGAGTGATCTTCATCCATTTGACGATGTCTGTTATCAGTTGTTATTTATCCTGGTATTCAGTGCTTTCCTGAAATCTGTGGGCAAACCCATAATCTTAGATTCTATATGCATCAATCCTTTTGTATATCATGAATGCTTTAGTTTCATAATTTAGGGATTATGGATTGGGGGGAAAAAAAAAAAAAAAAAAAAAAAGAAAAAAACCAAAACAAACGGTTTATTTCTTAATCCTGCTGGACCAGGAATTTGGAAGGACTTGAACATCTTATGATTAGAACTTGACATGGCAGGAAATATGAAGGCAAGTTATTGCTAGATCCTACAAGCCTTGATTTAAAAACTGACACCAGACGTGTACTTTATTTCCAGTTTGAAGATGAGGATTATGTTTTTAAAATGAATAGAGAGATATTTTTAAGATTGAGGTTATAGTTGTATTTAAGGGTAAGGTATTCTTAGAGTTAGCCTGTTCCTCCAGCCTGCAGTATTCTTAATCGTTACTGGCCTGCAGGTAGAGAATAACTGCAACTGTCTGAGCCTGATCATCTAACCAGTTCTTTATTCAGACAGTTGCCTGTTCATCTATCCTGTGATGTTCTTGTTTGGATACCAAAATATTGTGGGAAACAGTGTTGAAAACCTTGTCAAATTCGCATTAAATAATAACCACTGCTCTCTTTTCTACCATAGATATGTTCCTTTTTATCATAAAAGGTAGTTGGTCAGGTATATTTTCCTCTGATAAATTCATGTTGACTGTTCCCAATCACCCTGTTGTTCCTTGTGCCCGGAAGTGTGTTTCAAGAGGACCTGCTCCACTATTTTTCCAGGGACACAAGCGAGGCTAGACTTTCAATATTCAAGGCTTGGTTTTGAGTATGTTTTTCTGGAAATTAACATTTCTGGCATTATAAATTTGGTCTAAATTGTGTTTCACGAAGAAAAAACAACTTCCTCTCACATATTCTATGAATTGTTCCGACCAGACTTTTTTCCATAACCTTTCTTCTGCTCCAGTACTTTTTACTAGCAGGAGGAATGATGGCTGCTTCTATTGAGCAACAGCATGGTTAGGCTTGTTTTAATGCTCATGCTTACCGCGCTAGGAAATAGCGAAGGAAAATAAATAGTTGGCACTAAACAGCCAGAGAAATTCACTTCAGTTTTTTCCAAGCTTTCCTCTTCATTATCCTTTTCTGCTATGCATAAGGAACAGAATGCAAAAGAATCAAAGAAATCCAAACTTCAGTGCCTCTACAGGTACCATAACGAGTATTTTTGAAAAGTGTCTTTCCAGTTACAAGCCACATGCAAACTGAGTGTAGCTGGCTGGTGTTATTGCAAGACCTCTGTCCATTATTTTTCAGTGGTCTTGGGAGTCTGGAGAGGTCACAGTTGACTGGAAGCTGGCAAATGTTGTCCCAGTTTTCAAGATGGGTAAGAAGGAAGGCCCTGGTAATTACAAGCCTGTCAGTCTCACTTCAGTGCCTGGTAAAATTATGGAGAAGGTTATTCTGGGAGTTACTGAAAAACACTTGAGAGACAACGCAGTCATTGGTCATAGCAAGCATGGGTTTATGAGAGGAAGGTCCTGCTTAACCACCTTAATTTCCTTTTATGACAAGGTCACCCATGTGGTTGATCAAAAGAAGCCAGCAGATGTGGTGGTTTTGGATTTTGGTAAAGCTTTTCATAGTGTCTCTCACAGTATCCTTCTGGATAAAATGTCCAGCACACAGATAGCAAGGCAACAATATGCTGACTGAGTAATTGGCTGAAGGGTTGGGCTCAAAATGTTACAGTAAATGGGGTTACATTAGGCTGGTGGCCAGTCACCAGTGGGGTCCTCCAGGGCTCAATTTTAAGGCCAATGCTCTTCAACATTTTTATAAGTTACCTGGATGCAGACATTGAATGCACATTGTTAAGTTTGCTGATGGTACTAAACTAGGAGGAGCTGTGGACTCCCTTAAGGGTAGAGAGGCCTTACAGAGAGAGCTTGATAGACAAGAGAGCTCAGCAGTTGCCAAACGAATGAAATTTAATGAGACCAAGTGCTGGATTCTCCACCTGGGGTAGAGTGATTATGGCTACACTTAAAAATTTGAGCATGAGAGGCTGGAGAGCAGCCCTGCGGAAAGAGATGTCAGGGTTTGTGTTGATGGCAAATGAGTTGGGTTTAATATGAGTCAACAGTGTGCCCTGGCAGCCAAAAGGGCCGACACTGTCCTGGGGTGCAACAAGCACATCATAGCTAGCAGGTCAAGGGAAGTGATTGTCCCACTCCGCATCGCACTGGTGCGGCCTCACCTCAAGTACTGTGTGCAGTTTTGGGCACCTCTATATAAGAATGACATCAAACTATTAGAGTGTGTCCGGAGGAGGGTGACCAAGATGGTGAAAGGCCTCGAGGGCAAGATTTACGAGGAGCAGCTGAGGTCACTTGGCTTGTTCAGCTTGGAGAAGAGAAGCCTGAGGGGTGCCCTCATTGCAGTCTACACCTTCCTCAAGGGGGGCAGTAGAGGGGGAAGGTGCTGGTCTCTCTCTTGTGACCAGCAATAGGACACGAGAAAATAAAATGAAGCTGTGTCAGGGGAAGTTCAGACTGGACATTAGGAAAAGGTTCTTCACCAAGAGGGTGGTCGGTCACTGGAATGGGCTCTCCAGGGAAGTGGCCACAGCACTAAGCCTGTCGGAGTTCAAGGGACTGTCTGAAAGACATTTAGTCATATGGTTTAGATTTAGGTAGTCCTGCAAGGAGCAGGGAGTTAGACTTGATGATCCTTATGGGTCCCTTCTGAATTGAGCTATTCTATCATTCTATGATAAAAATTTTACAAAAATCTCATCTTTTTTTTCTTCCTTGGTGTTGGAAAGGTCAAATGTATGTTCTACAATGTGAAAATTTCTGATTTATCTCTAGTATTGCTTCAGAACACAAAGGAAATCATAATAAAAAACTTGTACTGCGAGAAATTTTAGGGATAACAGAAAATACTTTTTCTTATCAGATTAAGTAAAAAATAATAAAAAAAATTAATAGGCAGTTTTTAAAATGTGTGCTGTGCCTTGTAGAAGCTAATTACCCTATCAATTGTTGATGCACATGTTTGGATTTTGGTTTGTAAAAGGCTCTGGCTGTTTGAATCCACTTTACTTAGTTATACAACAATTAAAATGTTTGGATTTTCTGCTTAATTTTTTTTCCAAATTACATAAATCTACTACTTATTTCAGGAGAGATGATGGTGTCACCATTAAATAGTTCAGATGCTTCGGAACACAAACAAGATAGTCCAGGCATTTGTCACTTTCTGAGAGAGAAGGAGTCTCTAAAGTCTATGTTTGATGCAATATCCACAAAAACTCCTGAAAAAAGAAAAGCTATGCTGGAAGAAAATATTAGTGTGGATAGTTTGTCAATAATTCCAGAAAAACAAGCATCTTGGGTGAAATCAGGAAGTAAAAGGAGGACTCCAAAGCAGAAGTTGGAGCCACTTGAGGTTTTATCAGGCATCAAGCAGCTTTTAAGGACCCCAAAGCAAAGGTCAGAACCAGTAGTGATGTTGTCAGGCATCAAGGAGCTCATGAGAACCCCAAAGCAGAAGTCAGAGCCTGTAGAGGCCTTGTCGGGCATCGAGCGGCTCATGAGAACCCCGAAGCAGAAGTCGGAGCCTGCAGAGGCCTTGTCGGGCATCGAGCGGCTCATGAGAACCCCGAAGCAGAAGTCGGAGCCTGAGAACCCCAAAGCAGAGGTCGGAGCCTGTAGAGGTGTTGTCGGGCATCGAGCGGCTCATGAGAACCCCAGAGCAAAAGTCAGAGCCTGTAGAGGCCTTGTCGGGCATCGAGCAGCTCATGAGAACCCCAAAGCAGAAGTCGGAGCCTGTAGAGGCTTTGTCAGGCATCGAGTGGCTCATGAGAACCCCAGAGCAAAAGTCAGAGCCAGTTGAGGACGTATCAGGCATCAAGGAGCTCATGAGAACCCCACAGCGTAAGCCACAGCCAGTCGAGGTCCTATCAGGCATCAGGCAGCTCTTGAGGACCCCACAGCGTAAGCCAGAGCCAGTCGAGGTCTTGTCAGGCATCAAGCAGCTCTTGAGGACCCCACAGCAGAAGCCAGATCCAGTCGAGGTCTTGTCAGGCATCAAGCAGCTCTTGAGGACCCCACAGCAGAAGCCAGAGCCAGTCGAGGTCTTGTCAGGCATCAAGCAGCTCTTGAGGACCCCACAGCAAGAGTTGGAACCTATCACAGATGAAATTGCCTTTAAAAGATTGCTGAAGACTCCAGTACAAAAAAGAGAAGCAGTAAAAGATGTGTCAGGTATTACTTTAATCAAGAAAACTCCAAAGCTGAAATATCAACCAGTAGAAGACATGATTGGGGTCAGCCGTATTTTCAAGACACCAAAGGAAAAAGTTGAACCCATAGAAGATATGCTTGGTATTAGTAGACTAGTGAAGACTCCGAGAGAGAAATATCAACCAGTTGATGATTTTGTGGGTCTGCAACGGCTTATGTCAGAACCCAGGCAGAAATGTTCCGATTTTGAAGTGGACTATGTTGGAGTTACGGAAATGTTTGACATACCAGAGGAAATTAAGGTAAATACTTTCATTAGCTTTTGGAAAGAACTAATTTAGACTTCGAAGCCTGTGGTTGAAATGAATTCTTAGGCCTCCTAGTGTGACATCTTATATGTTACAGCACTTCAAATATGTCATGCCTGTAACCTCTGGAGGAAAAGATACCTTCTAGAAAAGCCCCTCATGTTGATTTGAAAACTGTAAAAGATGGCAGTCTTTATTCCTTGGTAGCTTTGTCCCGGTGAATGCCCCCCTGCTCGATGATGTAGCTTGTTACAAAGTTTAATCTGAGCACTATTTTTTTTTTTCCTTTTTTTGTCTCTTGTTCCTGTTATGTTTAAAGAAGCGTTGAGCTTTTGACAAAACATGTTACCATGTGGTCAACTGATTGCTTACTATGTCCCTAAATCTTTCATTCATTGCTTCCTGAATGAATGCCTATTTTATAGAGAAAGCTGTATCATTGTACATTTGCTTGTGTTAATACGTATTTTCTTTGAAGAATACGTATTTTCTTTGAAGGAACCCTAAGTAGTTATTGAGGTTGCTCTGGGTTACCATTCTGACTATAATTCACAGCTTCATCACTTTTGTCATTTGTGAAGTTTATTAGTATTGATATTTATTTTCATTCCCAGATCCATAGGTAAAATGCTGAATATCACTGGGCTTAGTGCTCATCAGTGTAGAACTACAGTAAAACACTACAAAATGCTCAAATGATTTGGCTTCAATACCCCAAATTCCTTTTGAGGACTCATTTAGACACTTTTCAGCCAATTTAATTAATACCTTTTTATCTCTATGCAATGTTTGTTATCTTTCACTTTAAAAACTGCTACACTAGCTCAGATGGCAAGTATTAAGTTTGATGTGTGTGTGTGTGTGCACCAATATCAAATACAAGGATGCAGTTAAAACACTAAGTTGATTTCCTTTTTAGAGACAAGTATTTGACAAGATTCTTTTCAAGTATTGCTATTCATGAATTTTATATTGGTTGGCTCCATTATACCATGACCTGTCAGACATGCATTTATTGACTATTTATTTATTATTTATTCCCTTAGGTCAGATCAGTAAATGTTCTAGATTCTAAGCAAGAAGTTACTGCACCTCCTTGTACTAATTCCAGTCATAAATATCGTAAGTACAAATACTTTAACTAGAGGAATAATGAATATACAAGGTAATATATGTAGTATATTATTATGAAGTTTTAACATTTGTTTTAAAAATTCCAAAATACACAGTGCAAAGCATGCATAGTTCATGGAATCTGTGCGATCATCCCTAAGGAGCACCAGGTGCTGGAATTCTGTAGGTGTAGATGTATCATTGTAGTAGTTTGTTGGTGTGGTAATGTTGGCATCTCCAAACACACCAATGTAAAAAACCTGATGTTAAGGTCTCTGCTTAAAATCGCCTGTCTTTGCAAAGACTTTCAAGAACATAGTTGAAACCTATGAATGCTACCTACCAAATAAACCAAACATCTTTGGTCAGAAGCCTGGCCTTTAATCTAGGAATTGGTTAAAATCTTTATTTATTTTTAGATTAAGAATATTAAGTAGAATTTGTTAGACCAAGATGACTCTTAGGAAAATCGACACACAGATACTTTGATCAGACATAGTAATGTATAACTTCTGTTTGTGCTCTTTTCTATGTAAAACCTCTGAATGTGGGGGAAAAAAATGCACCTGTTTTAGAAGATAAAGGAAATATTTCACAAGGTGAAGGCTCTCAACAAAAGGAGTTGACTAGTGAAGACCAGTCTACCCAGAGACCAACAAGGAGCAGATCAAGGAAGACAGTACATTCAGCAAAACAGTGTGAAAAGGATTTGAATTTAAAAGAATTGCAAAGTCTGGAAAGAAAGAACACCCAAGAGGAGACGGGAAAGATCAGTACTTTAACTTCAGTAGCTAAAAACGAAGGAAGAGGAAAGGGAACAAACCATTGCATACAAGTAGAAATTGTTTCAAAGTACCCTGATCAGGAGAAAGTTGAAACTGTTTCTTTTGTGGAACCACATGGAGCTACTCAGAGACCAGGAAGAGGTAAAAGGAAAGAAGTAAAGGAGTTAAAACATCCAAGTGAGAATTTTGAGCCTTGTGGCAAAGATTCTTCAGTGCTACAGAAAGAACCTGCAAATATGAAACAGACTTTGCAGGAGTATGGCATCCAAAATGAAAATTGTCAACTGCAAACAGGTTTTAAAAAAACTAAAAACAAATCTAATGAAGGTGGTATAGAAGACAGTGGAGAAATGCATCTGTCACTTGGGAGGAGGTCTAGAGGAGTAAAAAAAGGAGAAAACACAGAACCACTGATTCCACCTAAAAGAGGAAGAAGAGCTAGAAATGACCAAGTTAAACAAGCTTCTTCAGAGGACATTCATGGGACAACAAGGAAACTTCAAAAAGACCCATTGTCAGAGAAGATACAAAGAGTTGAACAGACTTTTGACAAAGATACTGAGACTGCCACAACAGAAGAATCTGAAAATGGAACTACACTTGAAATAAAGATAACCGAGAAAAGAGTTAAGTCTCTAAGAAGTGCTAGAAAGCAGTCAACTGAAGTAAAAGTGGAAGTTTGTGGGATAGCACTTGAAAATATACAAGACATTGAGAAAACCAAGGAAACTTCAACTGGAACTGATACTGAAACACAATCACACATCAAAAATGAGATGAAAGTATCTCAGGGAGATGAAACAGAAAATGCTCAGGAAAATACAGCAGAGGCATCTCAAAGACTAAAGACACAGTCACCTTCTGAAGAAACAAACAAAATGCCAGTTACTGTTCTGAACTTGGAAGCAAATAGAAGTGCAGCACAGGAAACAAACAGAACTAGTCACAGGAGAGGCAAAAAAGACTCTTTGGAGAAAAAGACTCATGAATTTTCCAAAGATGTAAACAGCCTGGAACTAATTACTCCCAAATTAAAGTCAGAAACAGAAATAGATGAATCTTCTCTCAAAGCTTGTTCGGGCTCTGTTTGTATCAAGAATACACACCAAGTCACAAAGAACCAGAACAACCCAGCTGCCACATCAATACCTGCTGCAAATAGTGACAGTCTTGCTCACAGCCGTCAAAAGCGGACAAGAAATGAACAGGGAATGCTTAAACCAAAGCAAACTGAAATCCTGCAAGAGAATCAAGCACAAAAACATGGAATGGCATGTAGAAGAGGTAGAGGTAGAAAAGTTAATTTTGAATTTGAAGAAGCCAGTTCCAGAGCAGTTGGAGAAAAAAGGAGTTTACCTGGGGATGAAAAAGGAATGACTTACAAAGATAGTCAGCATGAGGCTTCAGAAAATCCTCCTTCACAAGTAAGGAGGACCAGAAGAAACCAAGTTGATTCCATTCCACAAATAGCTTGTTCTACCTTTATGGAAAAACAAACATTAATTGAAGATCATAGTAAAGATGAGGCTTTTGTAAAAGAGCAAGACTCAGCTTTGGAAGCTAATCCTTCTTCAACAGAAGACAATCCACTGAGACGAGGAAAAAGACAAGAGGTTGCTGCAGCATCGCAAACATCTAGGTCTCTTTCTATGAGAAAAAGATGTGGGTTGCTCAAAGGTGATGATAGAAAGATGACTGTGAGAGAAGACGGAAATCCAGCTTTGGGAAATAAAACTTTGCAGGCAAAGGCAAATGCATCAGCAAGGGACAAAAGAAAAAAGACTGATCTAGCAGCAGAGGCAAAAAGTTCATCATCTCTCCAGAGAAAATGTGGCTTGTCAGAAACTGATGAAAAAGAGGAGACTACTAATGAAGAACAAAATATGCTTTTGGAAACAGTGTCCTGTGCAAAAGAGAAGCCATCAGGAAGGGGCAGAAGGAAAGAAACTGCTCTGACATCACACACAACTACTTACATTTCTCTTAGAAGAAAACGCGGCTTGCCAGCAGATAATGGTAGAGAAGAAGATGCTAAAGAAGATCAAAACATTCCATTAGAAACTTTTGATTCATCTGTAAAAGAAAATCGACTGAGAAAAGTCAGAAGGAAAGAAATTGCCCTTTTGTTGGAAGCCACAAATTCTACTTCTGTTCAGGGAAAACGCGGCTTATCAAAAGAACATGCCAGCAAGAATAATCATAGGGAAGCAAAACAGCTGATTTTGGAAAATTCTACTTTGCAAGAAAAAATTGATCTTTCAAAAGGGAACTCGAGGCAAACATTCACTTCACTGGCTCTTAGTTCCACCTCACTTCAAGGTTTAGCAGGAGATGGTAAGCATGAAACTCCTGAAGAACAACAGAGCATACTTTTGGAAGTAGCTCCATCTGCAAAAGAAAATCCGACAAGAGTGGGCAGAAAGAAAACAATTTCTTCCAAATCT